TACTTTCCATACCCACTGTATATATATATATATATATATATACACACATATACTGTATATATGATTTTTTTCTGTTTTTGTCTCTGATGCTCACCAAGGCTGCATTTAATTGATCAAAACACAGTAAAAACAGTAATATTGTGAAATATCATTACAATTTAAAATAACTGTTTTCTAATTCAATATATTTTAAAATGTAATTTATTCATGTGATGTCAAAGCTGAATTTTCAGCATCATCACTCCAGTCTTCAATGTAACATGATCCTTCAGAAATCAGTCTAATAAGCTGATTTGCTGCTCAAGAAACTTTTCTTATTATCATCAATGTTAAAACCAGTTGTGCTGCTTCATATTTTTTTGTGGAAACTGTGATACATTTTCTTTCAGGATTCTTTGATGAATAGAAAGTTCAAACAAAAAGCATTTATTTGAGATAGATAGATAGATAGATAGATAGATAGATAGATAGATAGATAGATAGATAGATAGATAGATAGATAGATAGATAGATGTTCCCACATGTTATTATCACATGACACGACCAGTAATGTAACTGACTGAGTTATAATCATGTTATTTTGACAGTCAGCTTACGTCTTGTTTTCTGGGTTTCTGTTGAAAATGCAAAACCACGATAACCTCGACTGGCATGGTATCTGCAAGTTAAAAGGCTATCAGTAGTGAAAGTGAAAAAAAGCTCACGGGTGCTCATTTAAAAAGCTCACGGGTGCTCATCTCATCTCTCTGAAAACCGCCACATGAAATGATTCAGGGCTATTTACAAAAAGCCAGGCTCTGGCACACAGCAGCAAGGGCAATCAGAGCAGATATTCCTCAGTGGAGGGACTTCTCTCTGGAATGGATGACTGCAGTGGTCAAGTTCGGAGCCCTGGCAGCCCGAGTGTCCTGGAGGTCTGGCACTCGTGTGTGAGCGTGCTTCTTCACACTGTAATTAAACAGCCGTCCCTCAAAAGTCTGTCAACACCAGAGACCGTTCCAAGAGCATCTGAATACCAAATGCACTGCCCTCTATAGTCTGCTGGTATAGCACCCAGGCAGTTTTTCTTCTCATATCTTTAAACTTTGGTGCTAAACCTATTGCAAATATCAGTAGTGATGTGTATTAGATTTTAGTCACTATCACATGAGAAGGCGAAATGATGATGCCCTTCTTCCTGGTTGCATCTAATGCTTTTCTACTTTTATAATGCCAGTATTGGCAGCGCTTATCTATTTAGACTGATACAAAATCAGTTTTGAGGAAATAATGCAATATCTATGGTCTGTGAGAGAAATCTGCTCACTGTTCAGCAAGGGTGGATCAATACTGAAGTATTTTGATGGTGCAAGACTGCCACCTGCTGCTAGTTTTTCAATGCATCCGTACACATTTGTTAGGAGTTTTAGAGCAACACCGCCAATAAGTCTGTTGGATAGGCAATGCAACCATCTGTTACCATATTCCTTGTTATGTTTACCAGAACATCCGTCAGAATGTGCCGACCCTAATCACTGTTTTGGCACATGGCAAGAATCTGTAATATTGTATTCTTTGTAATCTCGTGTCCATATGTAAGCTGATTTGTGATTTAAAAGACGTTCTGAATGGAAAAAGCTCAGTTAGTTGTGCCAGTATGTGTCAAATACACCTGCAAACTACTGCTTATGAACTAAGTTGTGCATAATTTTTTTTCTATTTCTTTGTCTTTTTTTTCAACATTTGTCAGTTGTTTTACAGAACTGGAGAACAACCCACTGTAATAACTGCAATAAAGCTCTCGTGCACACCTACAGGCTAAGGTCAAATAGTCATTTCCCACAGAATGACTGACTCTCCTTCACCTTGCTGACAAAAGTATTTTTTTACCATTTATTTTTTACCATGGAATTTAAGTTAAATAATAAAAATAAATGTAGTAGTAGTAATAATAACAATAATAATAAACAATGACCATATATTTATTATTATTCACAGTAAAGAAATCAGATCAGTCGCTTAAAAAAATCAACCCTCCACACACACACCTTTACTGTCGATTTTGGGTTTAATGATTTCTAATATATTGTTAAATATATATATAAATGTATATATTGTTATTGTAATGTATTTGAGAATGTGTGTGTGTATACAGTATCTCATGACTACTGAACAACCCACTGTAATAAAGCTCTCTTGCACACCTACAGGCTAAGGTCAAATAGTCATTTCCCACAGAATGACTGACTCTCCTTCACCTTGCTGACAGAAGTATTTTTTTCCCCATTTATATTCTCCATGGAATTTAAATAAACAAATTTAGTAGTAACAATAATAATAATAATAAACAAAGATAATATATAATAATATAAAGAGAATAAACATAATGATAGTCATGAACCAAAACAACCAGTACACTTTTTTTTTATTTGAAACACACACACACACACACACACACACACACAAAACTTTTGTTTTTGTTGTGTCTTCTGTCAGTTCCTTGTATCTGTTCTCTGGGTGTGGGGGGCAGGGGAAATATACAGTGGGTATGGAAAGTATTCAGACCCCCTTAAATTTTTCACTCTTTGTTATATTGCAGCCATTTGCTAAAATCATTTAAGTAAATTTTTTTTCCTCAATGTACACACAGCACCCCATATTGACAGAAAAACACAGAATTGTTGACATTTTTGCAGATTTATTAAAAAAGAAAAACTGAAATATCACATGGTCCTAAGTATTCAGACCCTTTGCTCAGTATTTAGTAGAAGCACCCTTTGGATCTAATACAGCCATGAGTCTTTTTGGGAAAGATGCAACAAGTTTTTCACACCTGGACTTGGGGATCCTCTGCCATTCCTCCTTGCAGATCCTCCCCAGTTCTGTCAGGTTGGATGGTAAACGTTAGTGGACAGCCATTTTTAGGTCTCTCCAGAGATGCTCAATTGGGTTTAAGTCAGAGCTCTGGCTGGGCCATTCAAGAACAGTCACAGAGTTGTTCTGAAGCCACTCCTTCGTTATTTTAGCTGTGTGCTTAGAGTCATTGTCTTGTTGGAAGGTAAACCTTCGGCCCAGTCTGAGGTCCTGAGCACTCTGGAGAAGGTTTTCATCCAGGATATCCCTGTACTTGGCCGCATTCATCTTTCCCTCAATTGCAACCAGTCGTCCTGTCCCTGCAGCTGAAAAACACCCCCACAGCATGATGCTGCCACCACCATGCTTCACTGTTGGGACTGTATTGGACAGGTGATGAGCAGTGCCTGGTTTTCTCCACACATACCGCTTAGAATTAAGGCCAAAAAGTTATATCTTGGTCTCATCAGACCAGAGAATCTTATTCAGGTGTTTTTTAGCAAACTCCATGCAGGCTTTCATGTGTCTTGCACTGAGGAGAGGCTTCCGTCGGGCCACTCTGCCATAAAGCCCCAACTGGTGGAGGGCTGCAGTGATGGTTGACTTTCTACAACTTTCTCCCATCTCCCAACTGCATCTCTGGAGCTCAGCCACAGTGATCTTTGGGTTCTTCTTTACCTCTCTCACCAAGGCTCTTCCCCCCCGATAGCTCAGTTTGGCCGGACGGCCAGCTCTAGGAAGGGTTCTGGTCATCCCAAACGTCTTCCATTTAAGGAATGGAGGCCACTGTGCTCTTGGGAACCTTAAGTGCAGCAGAAATTTTTTTGTAACCATGGCCAGATCTGTGCCTTGCCACAATTCTGTCTCTGAGCTCTTCAGGCAGTATATATATATATATATATATATATATATATATATAGTATTTTGACTAATAATATATGACAATGTCAGGGATTCTCATTAACCTTACCTTTAATTACAAAGTAAGCACAATTAAACCCAGTGTATGTGTGCAAACACACATAAACACACACACATATATATATTGTATAAGGTCTTAATTTTAAATTTATAAAATAAAATCTGAAATCTAAAATAATATTTAAATATCATTTACACAAAGTCAACACAGTATGATTACTGAATGGTTGTGTTGGGTTGCTCCCCCAGTGGTTCGGAGTGTAATCTCACAGCCGCCCACACAGCCAGGCGAAGCCATCGTAGTTACGTCATCGTCCCCCTGCATCCAGAATGCGGACGGCGTCACTACAGGGCGGGGCTGCGCCATTTTGAATGTTGAGAGCGGTGCAGGAGGCTGGAGCTGCAGGAAGAAAGCCTCAGGATCTTCACATTTACGAGTCAACGAAAGGACTACCGAAAAGAGCTTCTTTCCTATGTCCGTCTTCATCCAACCCCAGACGAACTGTCTGCAGTAAAATAAATCCGGCAAAGTTATCTGGACAGTTCTGAGACCAAAACCTAGCAACGGCAGGCGGAGGTAAGAGCCGGAAGTGACGTAATAGCGGGCCCGAAAGCGTGATTTTCCTTCAAAATACAGCTACAATAATCTAAGCTTTTAATCAAGTTTAATATACACATCATTATACGGTGTAATATTCCTGCATTTTAAGTATTAATACGTTAGAGAATTACCTCACAGCCAATATTGTTATAATTGTGACATAAAACAATGTCAAAATAAAGGAATAACAAAACAAAAAAAATCATCCAACCCCAGACGAACTGTCTGCAGTAAAATAAATCCGGAAAAGTTATCTGGACAGTTCTGAGACCAAAACCTAGCAACGGCAGGCGGAGGTAAGAGCCGGAAGTGACGTAATAGCGGGCCCGAAAGCGTGATTTTCCTTCAAAATACAGCTACAATAATCTAAGCTTTTAATCAAGTTTAATATACACATCATTATACGTTGTAATATTCCTGCATTTTAAGTATTAATACGTTAGAGAATTACCTCACAGCCAATATTGTTATAATTGTGACATAAAACAATGTCAAAATAAAGGAATAACAAAACAAAAAATTCATTTTAATGTAATGGAACATAAATATTTCCAGAATGCGGACGGCGTCACTACAGGGCGGGGCTGCGCCATTTTGAATGTTGAGAGCGGTGCAGGAGGCTGGAGCTGCAGGAAGAAAGCCTCAGGATCTTCACATTTACGAGTCAACGAAAGGACTACCGAAAAGAGCTTCTTTCCTATGTCCGTCTTCATCCAACCCCAGACGAACTGTCTGCAGTAAAATAAATCCGGAAAAGTTATCTGGACAGTTCTGAGACCAAAACCTAGCAACGGCAGGCGGAGGTAAGAGCCGGAAGTGACGTAATAGCGGGCCCGAAAGCGTGATTTTCCTTCAAAATACAGCTACAATAATCTAAGCTTTTAATCAAGTTTAATATACACATCATTATACGGTGTAATATTCCTGCATTTTAAGTATTAATACGTTAGAGAATTACCTCACAGCCAATATTGTTATAATTGTGACATAAAACAATGTCAAAATAAAGGAATAACAAAACAAAAAAAATCATTTTAATGTAATGGAACATAAATATTACATTTTCCAAAATGGTGTAAATCCATTTTATATAGTACATCGGTTATTTATTAATAATCTAAACCAATTACACTTTAAAATTAAGTCGGTTTACATTCACCGGTTTCAAGATCTCAATTGAATTTATTAATTATAGATTTGTAAATAATTATCAGATTTAAGGCAGACTGATTAATGTAGTCATTTGGTATTTTATTCTCAAAATGTGTCATGTTTTATACTGTGAATCAAATTGTGGACGTTTTAAGTATCATTTTGGTGTTTATTAAAAAAACAAAACAAAAGGAACATCTAATGTTGGCACAGCATGCATTTTTAGGTATCAAGCATCTTTAGATGGGCATTGCTCACACTGCACTGTGGCAATTAAAACTGAACACTAGAGATGCCTGTCACATGAAGCTCTTAGGCATCATTTAAGTTCACCAGTATCAATATTTCAGTATCATTTACCACTAATACTTTTTTTGAAAAATAATGTATCAGCCCTGCTGGCTGCAAAAACATCATCAGCAATATTAAATAAAGTGCATGAATACACAGGTACAGTAGACCGTACAGAAACATTGCATGGTGAAGATATATAATTTACGAATGCATGTAGACAGACAGGACCCTCGGAGTGCCTCCTGAAAAACTATTATGGAAAAAAAGCAGATGACTTTTGGTATTCCCAAGATTTGCAGAATAATGAATGGAATCGGTTCAGGAGAAATACAGGAGGACTTGCCTTACCTACCCGTGTTTACTTGCTTGACTGATTCATAGAATGCATGGAATCGCTCTAATAATTGTATGTAATTAATTGCATCTCTCTTCCATGTTTCAGAGTATTACGTCCAAGCGCTTTTATTTTGGAAAACTGCATTTCCGGCGACTCTCTTGGAAATCTTGCGCTGGTCGCTGCCTTCACACTGCTGATCGAGACTAGGGTCCGACATCGCCACTCTCGCCATGGCAGGTAACTTGGCACGGTTAGGAGCTGCTCAAGCACGGGTTGTATTAAATCAGGTGTATTATAGCGATAGCTTCTATTTGTTTCAGTGAGCGCAGCGGTTGTGCTGAAGCCATCGTCGGCTTTGCTGATCCGCTGACAGTAGCCTAGCATCTTAGCTGCCTCGTTTCCCTCCAGTTAGCCAGCAAATCGGCAAAACTGATTTCGATCGGGCTTTATTCGTAATGGGACGATCATTTGAGTACTGATGCGCCTCTGTGATCTGGGTAGTTATTTCAGCGATGAGCTGCATTTGCGCGGAAATCTGTCCAGCGAAACCCATTCATCGGTCGTTAGCGGGGATGCGCGGTCGCTACGGGGTTTTTAATGTGTCGGTTGTAAAAATGAATAGGCGTTGGATAACGTGTCCTGCTTCTCGTGCTCTGTGTACATGTATCACTTGGTCTGGTGTGTACATCTGCTTGGCATCTCGGCCTCTTTAAATCATCTCCGTTAGAGTAACGTTAGGGAACATTAACCGGCTTCTGCAGAGTCATGAGCAACGAGTCAAACCCCAATGTGTTCCTGCTTCTGAAACTTTAAGCCATCTGACTTATTCACAGAAAAGAAATCAGATCGGTTTCTAAGGGGTGGGAGGATTCACTTATATGGCACTGATTGACAAAAACAAAACAATAATCAACCCTCCACACACGCCTTAATGGGTGTTAAATATATGTATAAATTGTTATTGTAATGTATTATGTATTTGAGAATGTATATGTATATATATCTATATGTAGATAAAAAAAACACACACACACACACAAAAGAACCTTACAAGAAATTGTTCAGATACTGTCCGAAATTTAAGTATTTTAATAATTATTATAATTTTTTTATCTGATTTCTGACAAGAGACGGGAAAGATTTGATCAGTTTCTTTCTGTGTTTTCTCCAAATCACTGTTTTCTCCTTATTCAGGTTTCTTACCGACAGACCTCTTATTGGGTCTCCTGTAGCCGCTTTTCTCGTGAACAAACCCAACCAGTTTGGCGCTGCCTCAAACGGTCCCTCGAGATTTGCCTCAGCCCGTTTCTCCACTCATTAAAAAATGATGCAAGAGCTGTCCTTTAAATTTGATATGGATTATTGCGAGTGTAGACAGTATTTTAGCATTGCTTTCTTTTTTTGTGATGAAAGGGCCAATTTGTTTAGTCAGATGAGAATGCCTTCTTTCCTCACTACCATCTTTCTTGTAGTATACTCTTGTGTTTTTATGTTATACGGAAAGTTTATTTTGAAATCAAATCAAATATTAAGAGAATGTTAGCAAATTAAAAGTTCCTTATAGGTTTATTGATATTTTGAAAGCTTCAAAAGTATCTTTCCCAGATATGTCCAAGGTTCATTTTTATTTGTGGGCTGCAACAAACTTTAACTGGCTTTTATGGTTTCAGGAGCCGGAGGCGGGGGAAACGATGTGCAGTGGTGCTTTTCACAAGTGAAAGGGGCAATCGATGATGACGTAGCCGAAGGTGAGTTCCTGTCTGAATAGTCTCTTCCTGTCTAAGCAGGCGATTCATGGACCATACTCAAAAGTGTGCAAAAAGACAATGGTGTGTCCCCAGTGACATGAGAGACACTACAGAGTAGAGACCTGCACTCCCGCGGGAGTACCTGGGACTCCCGCAAAATAGAAATGATCTAAACATAAATTGTCTAAAACATATAAATTGTTATTGATCTGTTGCACAAAAAGCAAAAAGAACAACTAATATTAACATTAAAATGATTGACACGCGCAAGCTAGGCATAGTTTCTATTTATAACACGTGTTTAAAGGGTTGCGCAATGTAGCCAATCACAGACTCAGCTGTTGATTTCTGGAACGCATTGGCCAATCAGAGGTGATTAAGTTAGAATCTACTCACCGCAGTGCTGAAATTGCGTGCTCAGGATTCCTCATTTTAACACACGACGTGTAGACACTGTGAAAGATTCATTGTGCATATATTTAATGTGTTATAACAGAGCTTTATGAGATCGCGATTAACTGAGATGTCAGCTTTTAGTGATAATAAAGGAAGCGCGCTGCTCGCATTCTGCCATGCCAAACCATGCACGCAGCAGCACATGCTTGCTTTTCTGTTAAAAATAACAGTGGTTTGTGAATGTTGATGCTTAGCCTAAATAACAAATATTTTATCGGGTATGTTGCGGAGCTTAGGAGATATTACAGAACCATTTCATGTAAATTTCTTCGATGTACTTAAAACAAATCTGTATAGATTACTTTTATGCAGGCGGGAGCGGGACAAAACATGAATGTCACGAGCGGGACCAGATAAGATATATTTCTGCGGGAGCGGGACTGAAAAATCCGTCCCGCGCAGGTCTCTACTACAGAGTGCAACAGTCGGGATCCAAAAGTAAAAACCATCCATTTTTCTCCACAGGCAAATTAATTTTGAATGATAACTTATAAATCTTTAAAGACAGACCTGTTGTGAGCTCCAAGGTTGTTAATCAGAGGAAAATGCTTTTGTTGAAGCCATCCGTTCACATTATTTCAACTTATTTAAAAATAATTGCGTTTAGCAGCTTAATTCATGGTGGGAAACGGCATTACCCATGATGCTGTGCAGAAAAATGACACCAATCATTGAGTCATGACAAGCTCTGCAGGGTATGTCCACTCACAGCAAATTACATAATCGAGTGGGTTTAAAATATAATACATGCAATATAATAATAAAAAAAAATAGTTTCTTTAGAAACTTTAAATTAAAAGTTTTATAATTCACTATTGTTTTTAATTTGATTGTAATTTGCAGTGCTTCATGGGATTGTAGTTCTTTCCTTTATTTGTGCCATTTTAAGGTAGACAGTCTTGTACCTTTATCTGATTTTCAAATACTTTTTTGCTTCAAATCAAAGGTCGTTATTTTGTGATTCACCTCGTGATTTGGTTCATTGCTTATAACTCTTTAATAAAGACACTTTTAAATAGGGTTGGATACCGAAACCCGGTACCAATATGGCACCGGTACCTGTGCAACCGGTATGTACTAGAACCGAATCCGAACGCAGATTTCGGTGCCATGCCTGAACGATCGATTGAAATTTGTCCTCTGGTTCTTCGAAACGGACGTAAGAAGCATCATCACTGGCACCGCATGTGAAAAATTATTTCCCGACTGAGAAAATGCACGTGAACTCAAGCCGGAAAGCTCTAATAATACAAATCCAACACATCTTTGCGGTAACGAGAGTGTCCATGTTGTTTTCACATTCCGACTTAAAAGCACAACTCGGGAAATGAGAGCACTTGCTCTGATGGCAGCAGGTAGCCTTCCGTTAACTAAGCTAAACATGCTTAAATTAAAATGCCTAAAGCAAAACCTCCCTTGTATTCACATTTCTAAACCTGTTGTCCAACAAAAGAGAACATTATAACCTTTTTACTCCACAACACCAGTCAAATGCTTCCTTTTGTGATCTGATGAGGCTTCTTGTCACAGAATGAGGCAGAAAATATGTGTTCTATATGCTACTTTAAAAAGAAAACATCGATTAGCAATAAATTAGGGTGACCATACGTCCTCTTTTTCCCGGACTTGTCCTCTTTTTGGACCTACAAAAATGCGTCCAGCCGGGATTTCTTAATTGCCCAAAATGTCCGGGATTCGGCTGTTTTCTTAATCTTGCTCGCTCTTTCACTTTCGATTTCGTGATCACACGCACTCTGTGTAAAGGGAGCAAGCACATCTTACAAGATTAGATATTTGTCAATGAGTTCAGGATCTGTTGAGCAGCAAATACTCCAGCATGGTCTTGTCAGCCATCTCTCCTTTTTCTCGACCTGTGATCAGTCAAAGCTAACTTGTTTGATGCAGGGTTGCCAAGTCCATGTTTTTTTCCACAGAATTGGGATACTTTTAAACTCTTGCCATGGGTTGATTTTCCCAAGAGGGTTAAAGGTTTGAAATATTGCATAAATTACATTTGACTGAAATGCTTGTATTGAAACATTT